GAAAGAAAGAAAGAAAGAAAGAAAGAAAGAAAGAAAGAAAGAAAGAATACATCACCAACCCTCTTGGACATAAACATAAGCCTTCATCAAGAGATTCTGAAGGGCTGAGAAAAGAAGGTGGCCCCACTAGAAATCTCAGTATCCAGGAGGCCACTTAATACTGAGGTTTTACTTTTAACCCATTATCTCAGACTTGATGCAGCAGATGCCAGGCTGGGTCTAGAACATGTATTAAAGCCTGAGAACGTGGAACCATCAAAGTCAAGGCCCAAGAGAAAGAAGTTAAGTCATTGTGGAGCATGATCTGAAAACATATATTGGGCCCCAACCCTTTCCAGTCTCTCTTTCTGCTTACGAGGCACAAACTTGCTCTACCATGCGTTTCAGCTATGATATTCGGCCTCATCAGAGGCCAATGGTGACTAAGGCAAACAATCATGAGCTAAAATCTCAGACACTATAAGCCAAATAAACTTTTCCTACTTTTAAGTTATGTATTTCCTCACAGTGAAGGGGTAAGCTGACGACAGAACTACAGTAACTAAAATGCAAACAGGTATAGAGACATATGGGTTGGGGAGCCTTCAATAGCCCAGGAGAGGGAAAAGGAAGTCTAGAGGGGAAATCATCCTTCCCACACACAAGAGCTGGCCTCAGTCATTGGAACTCTAACACTTAGCAAATAGGGAGCCAGCAGGCCACACTGGGACACTGGATTATGTACTTTTGACCTATTCTCCACTGATACTCTGACCTATCCACAAGGCTGTGTACCTTGAGTAGAGCCAGTACTAACTTCTTTCTTTCCCAAAAATATAGTGATCGCCATCTTAAAGGTAATTATAAGAGGCCTGTAAGTGTTTTTAACCAACAATAACCAAGTAATTTTGATTAGTAAGATGATCTCTTTGGGAAAGAATAACTAAGAGAGATGGCTAGAGATGACATTTGTTGCCAAGCCTGATGACATGAGTTTGATCTCCAGAACCCACATGGTGGAACAAGGGAACTGACTCCACCAAGTTGTCCTCTGACCTCCACATGTGCATCTTACTATGTACGTATAAACACACACACACTAAACAAAGAGACAAATAAATAAAAGTTTAGAGACGGGGTATCCCTTAGTTACTTAGAGGAGCTTCCAGAGCATTAAGTGACATATTACTTATGTACATCCTGTCGGCCGTTTTACCTACAGGAAAAAATTACTCAGAAAAAAAAATTGTGTAAGCTTTGCCACTTACTTTAAATTAAGTCGTTGATGACATCACCTTAGACTTTCAAGCCATTCAGGTTAACTCCGGCTTACTGGCATGGATGGCTGTAAATGAGGCACACAGCCCTTGCCACCCACAGTAGTTAGTATGGTCACTGAGCAATCCTGTTGAATCTGTGTAAGTGTGTGTAACAACTGAAATGGTGAAAGGAGAGAGAAGGAAGAAGAGGGAGGGAAGGAAGGAGAAGGAAAGAAAGATTGGCCTTATAACGTAGATTTTAATGGCTTATGACAATTATGCACCTGGTTTGATCCTGGAGATGTTCACATTGCTGTTGATGGAGCTCTATGACATAAGTGAGGTAGATTTTTGTCCCTGCCTCCATTGATTGTATCAGATTGGCTGATGTCATGACACACTCAGGAAAAATAAAATGTTCCTAGTAAAGATGGTGTTAGGAGATACTTTTTTCCATAGATGTCCCAATAGCAGTAGCACTGACAGCTCTTTTTCAAACATCTACTCAAGAATGTTCGTGCAACCTAGAAAAATGTCTCCTTCTGGTGGAAACAACCTTTCATTTAATAACAAAGATAATGTTGCATGCCAGTGAAAAGCATGAAAGGCTTTCTTTCTATAATAGGGCTTTCTAGGGTTGGGAAGCCACTGAATAGGTGTCCTTTTACCTCAATAATCCTTACATATCCTATAGGATCCTATAGGATTCTGGGAATGAGCATAAATACTGATGCTCTGTCTACCAATGTCTCTGTGAATAGTAAGCTATCCTTCATCTCTGACTCTGGAGTATCATAAGACTGCTGAAGACTAACTTATGTGAAACACAAACTCTCAGAACTTTCTTCCAGATTTACTGGCTATCACCATGGATGCCAACTGACCAAAGCCCTAATGTTGCTATTCTAGGCTTTTGATTCCAGCTCCTATCATTTTGATTTTTCATGATCTAGATTTTTAAAATAATTCAGGCCACTTGCTTTGCATGGTGTCTCTCAACTGGGATTTTCTTGATACTCCTATACTTTGTGAGTTTTTGACAGCAGTTTCCTTCAGTATTTTCCATTCATCTGCCTCATTGCTTGTAATTTTCTTTTTATCCCTTGGTAAGATATTATCTACCAGGCTTTTTACTATGAAGTAAGTTTTACATATTATATAATCATCTATTAATTATGCATATTTGTACTTCTTGAATAATATATATTTTCTATGAAAATATTTATAAACTATGTCTACATTTGTGACTTGGATTTCTTTTTCCATTTATTTATTTAATCACTTTACAGGCTGATCCTAGCCTTCTCCGTCCTCTCCTTCCAATGCTTATCCTCATGCCCTCCTTCCTCCATTTTTCCATTTCCTTCTTCTCAGAGAAAGGGAAGCTCCCAAGGGGTACCCACCCTGACACATCAAGTCTCAGCAGGACTAAGTGCATCTTCTCCCAGTGAGACCAGACAACGGAGCCCAGCTAGGAGAAAGGATCCAAAGGCATGCAACAGCATCAAAGACAGTCCCTACTCTCATTGTTAGGGGATCCACATGATGACCAAGCTCCACATCAGCTACATATGTGTAGGTCGTCTAGGTCCAGCCCATGCATGCCCTGGGTTGGTGGTTCAGTCTCTGTGAGTCCCCACATGGGCCCAGGGTAGTTTAGTTTACTCTGTAGGTCTTCTTGTGTCCTCGACCCCTCCGGTTCCTTCAATCCTTCCTCGCTTTCTGGCACAAAACTACCCTAGCTCAGCCTATTGTTTGACTGTGGGTCTCTGCATCTGTTTCCATCAACTTCTGGCTGAAACCTCTCAGAAGACAGACTCCTGTCTGTAAACATAGCGGGCTGTCATTAATAGTGTCAGGGGTAGGCTTTCTTCTGTGGGGTCATTCTCAAGTTGGGCCAGCCATTGGTTTGTTTGTCCCTCAATCTCTTCTCCATCTTTATCCCTACGCTTCTTGTAGGCAAGACCAATTTTAAGTGGAAGGTTTTATGGGTGGGTTGGTGTCCCAATTCCTTCATTGGAAGTCCCACCTGGCTACAGGAGGTAGTGATTTCAGCTCCA